CCCTAAGTCTCTGGAACGGAATACATGCACCAGTGAACCTACAACTACATGATTTATATTTTAAAAATAATTAAATTCACTTAGCATTCAAAACTTGCGAATTTTGAAAAAAACAAATTTGCTGATTAAATACGAACAACCGTTTAACTGAAGTAAAACGGGTTTTCCCCTCGCTATGGATGTCTGCCTACTTCAGTTCAGCCACATTCCCCTACAGTTCGCCTTTATTATCAGTTCGAAATGGGGGGTTCCATAATACCACCTTCTCCTCTACCATATTTTGAAACTGCACCTTTGTCTATCATAGCAGGGGGGGTAAATGGAAATATGTGGTCACCTGTTTTATTCCAGGTCAAAAGACATTAGGGAACAAAAGAGTCGTCCTTGTGGGAAAATGACTCGTGAAGAATGAGTGCTCTCGTAATTACACAGAGGAGAAAAAAGACATTCTTGGTCTAGGAACTGAAGCAGACAAACAGTAAACTGTACAGTTAAAGTTGAAAAAATTGGAAAATTTACATATGTATATATAATATATATACATATGTAAATTTTCCAATTTTTTCAACTTTAACTGTACAGTTTACTGTTTGTCTGCTTCAGTTCCTAGACCAAGAATGTCTTTTTTCTCCTCTGTGTAATTACGAGAGCACTCATTCTTCACGAGTCATTTTCCCACAAGGACGACTCTTTTGTTCCCTAATGTCTTTTGACCTGGAATAAAACAGGTGACCACATATTTCCATTTACCCCCCCTGCTATGATAGACAAAGGTGCAGTTTCAAAATATGGTAGAGGAGAAGGTGGTATTATGGAACCCCCCATTTCGAACTGATAATAAAGGCGAACTGTAGGGGAATGTGGCTGAACTGAAGTAGGCAGACATCCATAGCGAGGGGAAAACCCGTTTTACTTCAGTTAAACGGTTGTTCGCAGTGAATCAGCATATTTGTGTTTTTCGAAATTCGAAAGTTTTGAATGCTAAGTGAATTTAATTATTTTTAAAATATAAATCATGTAGTTGTAGGTTCACTGGTGCATGTATTCCGTTCCAGAGACTTAGGGGTACGTATTAATCCGTGTGATGTTCACGTTTTTTAAATTTTAGTCTTGACAGACACAAGTTAATTCAAGATGGCGATGCGTGAAATATGGACCCCATTGATGTTTTAACAGTAATATGGAATGCAACTCCTCCGAACTCTCTCTTTGCAAGCAGACATTCGTCCAGAGCAATTTGTAAAAAAGACACTAGGTAGAAAGTCAAAAGAATACAGTCGACCCCCCTATAAGATAGAGATACGTTCCATTCTCTAGGAATCCGCTTTCTTACGAATCCTTCCAATCACAACCCGACACGTGTCAATTTTACGGACTACGGCTGTTTGAAAGGTTTTCTTCCATAAAATTAATCGATTCTAGACTAATACGACTCAACATTTCCAAAATACGTATATATTTTTTGGGAATAATCCGTATAAACTACGCTATAAACAAAAAATTGTAGGATTACTTACCGAGTGTCACCATTCGACATTGCCATTGCTCAACATTGTTTTCGTCGCGGAACAGCTCAGCAAAGAGCGGCCGATTTCTAACAACTTATTTTTCTGTGAAAACTTCGTAGAACTTCGGAGACATCATTAATATAAATAATTTTAATCGCCGTTGAATAAGAAATGTTTCTTTCACAAGAAATGTATAAAATTACAGTACTGTATTAGACTTACGGTACCTAATTTACATACTGACAGACGATAGTTAGCGTAAAAATCTCCGTAGCGTGGCGCCACGCTAGACGGCGGAAATTATATATTTAATTATAACAAAGTTACAATAAGTTAATATATAATTATATATACAGTACCTAATTTATATATAATTAATATATAATTATATGTACAGTACCTAATTTATATATAATACTGTACAGATGATAGTAAACTCAATTTACCTGCCTAAATTCTCCGTAGCGTGGCACTGGACAGCGGAAAGTAGTTCCGCTGCCCGATGACGTTTTACCGAATTATAGGAGTTTTTTTACCAGGTTTGTATGGATACCGTTGCAATTTTTTCGCCGTCTTATAGGAATCATAATTATAGGAACCTGTGTTATAGGGGGTCTACTGTACTATAATGATGTTTTATTTTCCTTGAAAATATCCCATTAATAACAAAATAGTGTTAGACATGCATTTTACTTGGAAAAATCAAACAGAAGATATAATATATTTTGTTGAGATTGAGGGAAAAAATGATATGATTAAAGTAATATCTATTCTTATATATTGGGTTAATTAAAAAGTTTCAGGAATTTTCTAGAGTTTTATAGTACATTTCTTTCAAAAACAAAAATAGTTTATTCAAGAAATTAGAATGTCAATCTTGGGTTTGACTAATGATTTGGGTTGTAGTTATATTGTTTATGTGTATTTTCTGAAACTTTTATGGGAGATTGTTCATATAAACAAGATTTCTCATGTCATCACTTCATATGTTGATACACATTGTACATTATATTAAAGTGACCAGACATTCCAAATTAGATGGGACAGTCCTGCTTTTAATATGCTGTCTCAATTGTTAAACTGTGAAAATGTTCCACTTTTGGACTGTTTCATAATTATATTCAAAAATAGCCAATATTTATTACATAAATTGCAATTCATAGATGAACTGCATAGAAGTTATCATAAAAAGTTTAATAATCAATTTGTAGAAATAGTAGCCCAATTTTCTCCCCAGTTTGGCAGAAAACAGTGAATGTATACCATATGTAAGTACCATGGTTGTGCATATCAGTTATAAAAGGGAGTTGATGCGTTTTGCTAATTGTATGACTTGTGAGTTAAAAAACAAACAGTGGTTAAAGCAAATAGCTTAATTGTGGAAAAACTGGAAGTCTTAATTAGCTATTAATTGTTACTATTGCTATAAGTCATTATTTTGTAAACAAGAATATATGTATAAGTAAAAGTTCATCATATCTGTCATGTCAGAAAGCTAGAAAATTGAAATTCATTGACTAGAGTCAATCATGACTTGTCTGATGTCACATCGATGCACTCAGTCTAATATACCATGTTTTAAGTTCAGGATTTCCGTGTGCATTATATGCAATTATCTAATGATAAAAAAATTTTACCCTATTGTAGCATCTCCATTTATTACAGCTCTGAGTCAATATTAAATGCTTTGGTTAAAATGAAGTCAGTCATGGAATAACATCTGTGAAATCCAGTTTGTAGGTTAAATAAAAATACTCTTTTAAAATTTTTAACCCATTATATAAAATAGGAATATAAATTTTATTTAAAATAAACAACAATAATTCTTGTACAGTTTACAGAATTTTTAGAATTCTTCTCTTTTAAATTGGAATGATTCAGTTTTCTTATTCAATATGCTAGTTACTAGAAGACTAAATTTAATTGAATACTTTCAACAATCTTTACTACATTTAGTTATTCACAAATTTCCTACATTCCATATGAATTCCATAATCTTTAAAAAGTAGTGAAGGTTAAATCCATTGGATTTTACACTCATTACAAAAAACTTTTTTAATGAGTATAAAATGCCATGTCTAACAGTAAAACTAGATTCTATAAAACGGTAAAAAGATTCTATATAATATTAAATATACAAACTCTAACAATACTAATAACAAAAAATAGTAACAAGCATATAGAACTGTACAAATAAATCAAACAACAAAATAAATACAAAATACTTCACAAGCATTTTCGACATGTATAGAATGTCTTCTTTGGTAAAACGTAAAAAGTTTTAGAACATTGATATAAATTTTAACATTAATGTTAATATTGTATATTCTAATTAGAATGCACATGTTAAATTTAAATGATGCACTTTTAAACTCACACATTTAATCAACGTTAAACTACAATTATTGGCAGCTGTGACTTAAGTTTTTAAATTATTAAATAGCAAAACTGATATTTTTGGGAGCTCTAGAGTGGGCCTATTACATGGCCCCAATTTCTTATTTAATAATGTTTCCCAGATAAATAAACAGTTGCATTTCTCACATTGTAAGAGAATGGAAGATTCATTCCACAGGGATGTAAAGTAATGATTCAACACCTTTCTAGATAGTTCTGTGGAAATTTTATTTTTACAAATGTCATCTTGATGTTCTAACAGGCTTTGCAATTTTCTATATGTGGCCCTGATATATATATCTTTTTCATCTTTGTTTTGGTATTGTAAGGGAATTATGTATACACCTGATTTTTTTTAAAATAGTTAATTTGTCCGTCATTACATAGTATTCTGCATAAGAGTAGCTGTAGTTTTATTGGAAGGTTAAATTCAGATTTTTGAAATAATCTGGTAATGGGTAAGGATAAGGACAAGGACCCAAGATATGGGATGGAAGGACTTATGTAAATGTGATCTTTTTATATTATTTCTAATTTTAATGGTTGAAAAAGGATTTACACACATGGGTGTTAATGCACTTGAATTGTAAGTGTAGCCTGCACTATGCATTGCCATATTAGTGAAATGTAACTTTTTTTGTACCATATGTTGCAGTGATGGGTAATCTGTAGGCTCTATGAATAAGTGCAGTCATGGCATTATTTATCTGCACTTATTCATACTATTTCATTGCTGAATTTTAACACGTGCAATCCAATTAGAACATATTAACATTAATGTTAAAATCTATATCAACGTTCTAAAATTTGTTTTTGTTTTGCCTGAAGAATACATTCCATACATGTTGAAAATACTTGCAAAGTATTTTGTATTTATTTTGTGTTTTACTCGTCAAAACCTTATTAATGCCAATAGACAGTACTCTTAAACTTTTATCTAACCAAACAACAACAGAATATTTAGAAGTAAAATAAAAATAAATAATCAAATCTGTTTAAATATATTAATGACTTTCAGAAAGTTCACTATTATATCAAAATTTGTTCTGTGGTCCAAAATTCCCAACAAATATGCATTTTTAAAATGCTGTCTAAGAGTACTCTCAAATATAGCTTTAGTAGTTAAAACATAATTTAATGCTGTATTAGTCATATAAAATGTGACTTGCTTTTCATAATGTAATAGCCTTTTTTAATTATCATCTGTATGGCCTCATCAAACTGTCATACTTTTTTTTCTTCGTGATAAGCTTTTTTCAAAATTCTAGCCAATACAATAAGATATAATATCATATCTTATAATAGATTTCTTAAACTTCTTTTACCTAGTTAAAATACGAAGATCATTCTAGAAGTAAAGAACACTTGTTTCTCTAGATACAGTAGACCCCCCTATAACACTGTAGATAATTCCGTGTTATATGAATTCCATGTTGTACGAATCACTTAGATTTTACAAATATGTGTGCCGGGCTGTGAACGGTTCACGTATTTGTAAAATTTAAGTGACTCGTACAACATGGAATTCATATAACATGGAATTATCTACAGTGTTATAGGGGGTATCTACTGTATTTTTATTTAAGATAATGAAACAAAACTTATTTTACAACACATATGATACCTTAGCTATTTTTCTATGTAGTCACCATACAAATTTAAACATTTGTGATAACGTATCACCAGCTTTTCTATGCCTTCTGCACACTCAGTTACCGCCAAGTTCTTGAACCGGTCATTAACAGCCTCTTTCAATTTGTTGTCACTTCCATAGTGATTCGTGGCCAAAAAATCCTTTAATTTTGGGAAAAGATGGTAATCACTCTGAGCCAAGTCTGGGCTATAAGGAGGATGTTCAAAAACTTCCCACTTAAACTGCTGAAGCAAGTTCTTCGTCAACGCAGCAGCATGCAGACATACATTATCCTAAAGAATCACAACGCCTCTGGACAATAATCCTCGCCGTTTATTTCGAACTGAAGCACCGAAGCTTCATTCATCACATTATCATAAACCTCGGTTATCTGTCTGTAAATTTCAATAGGGCAGACTTTTTTCGCCTTCAAAAAGCATATTACACTATGAACCTTGCACTTGGCAGGATCTTTAATTTTGTCACTCATTTCAAAGTCACACTATAAACAGTAAACAATCATTGCAGCTCTCTGTTAGCATCAGACTGGTGCGAAAAAATCGGAAGGTCCATGATGCAGCTGTGGGGGTGTTGGGAGAACTGCACGGCTTGTCATATCAAAACGTTCTTTTTTTTTAGAATGACCCTCGCATATGATCATATCAGATACTAATTTCTTAAATAAATAATGAAGTAGTTAACTAAACCAAATGATTGTGGAGATGAAACCTAACGTCTGCCTCTAATACCAAATTAATTTTTAATTATTAATAGTAGCAGAAAATAGCCTGATTAATTATGGCAATTGTTTGGTTTAGTATTAATTCATTGGGCTTTGGGATGTTTATATATAAATAGTTAACTTCTTATTAAATTATTTATTAATTAATAAACCACCATTTATTCATTTTATGAACATTATTTTTTATTATTTAACATTCTACCGAATAAAAAATGTTTTTAAAATTTCTGTTTTTAAATCTTTAGATGGGAATAAATTTAGAGATGATCTATTTGACTTAATTGCTGGTATTCAGAGTAGACGATTGGATGAACAAAGAGCTAGTCTACCACGACTGCCTGGCTTAAATATACCAACCACAACCAACATACATAGGAACAATAACAATAATATTGAACAAAATTTGTTACGACGTACTTCCGTCGGTAGTTCTACTCTTCCCGATGATGATTTTTTTGATATGTTGATGAGATGCCAGGTATGTATAATTTTATTGTCTAATAGCAAAATATATAAACTGTTGTTCATATTGAAATTGTGGTTTTAATTCTCTGTTGTTGTATAATTTCAAAATTATTTAAAGGCCACTTTCAAAATTTATATTTTATAAGATATCTCATGTAAATAAAATTATAACTTTTTTATTATAATATAAGGGTGTTAAACAAAACATCTTCACAAAATCAAACTTTTTTATTTTTACAATATGATTATCCAGAAACAGAAAATTCACAGTATTAGTTTCTTCTGTCTCTAATTTATGATCTGTAGTTGATGGCTTTTTTTTTTCTGACTTTAGTCTTGATGTCAACCATTCAAGTTGGAAAGAGCTCTGAATTAAATTGGCAGTTTGGACTGGACAGTCTATTTCAGTTTTGCATTATTTTTGTACACCTTCTGTTTTGGCTGGTATTGCCAAAATAGTAGGTATACTCCAAAACCTTATTTAACTGATTGAATCAGTAATCTTTATTTTTTAATTGGATATAGCTAACGAAGACTTTCAATATTTTCTCTTTGCTAACATAACAGACTCTGTATTCCTCTAGCACAGAAACTTTATCTATTATATAATGCACAGAAGACATACAAGCTGCCAGAATGGTGTTTCTTGAGGGATGGGATTGGCTTTTTCTTAATATACTTCTTTGTTGATTCAGAGGTGAGAGGGTGCTACAAATGCTTGAGATTTTCCTTTGGACCAATTACTATCTAAACCAACATTTTCTAAGGAAATTTCATATAATGTTTAAATTTTACTTGTGGATCAACCTCATCTCAATCCCTACAATAGTATATGTTGTTCTCAGCACGGTAGCATCAAAGGCAAAATACAAGTCATTGTCCATAACAACAACTAGTCTATTTGAAGCTTTGAAATCACCTTTGTGCATTTTTTGCAGCACAGTCCTTTGCAATTTGAGTTCGTTCTTGAATATTTTAAGGCTGACTTTTGCTTTCAAAGGACAACACTTTACTTGACTAGTATGTTTTTAACATACTGATGAGATATCTTAAAGTTTTTTTCCAAGTTTTCTTTGTGAGTGTACAACTTTTCTGAATGCCTTTCTTTCCAATGACTTTCTTTTGCTATCTGTAATTTTAATTCTCTTTTGCCCACTCCTTGGACATTAACAAGTCTTACCACTTTGCAGCATTTCTATGATGCTACAAAACTGTCCTTGCCATCCCATGGATTTCCATTCTTGCCACATCCATGAAATGCTTAACTGTGAAGCTTCTTCCCCTTTCTTTGTAAAATACACCAAATACAATTCCTCTTTTCTTTTTATTAAGCTGCTTCATTTTTGGAATATTGTTTCCACAACACGAATTTAAATCTATGGAGTCCAAGCAATAGTCTATACTAGCACATTCTCAAATTTATTTTTAAAAAAATACAAATATGTTTGACAATATTGTGCAGATTTTTAGTTTACACACCTACATTGTCATGACCAAATATATAATAAACAAATTTTATTATTTTTGGTCAGAATTTTCAATTAAAAAGTTTTAATCATAAAAATAAATGTAAGACTTGTATATATTTGTTCACAATATACCAATTGAGCCATTTATTTTGAAAGTGGCCTGAAGTTCATTCATCTTTAAATCGGGCTATTTAAGGGTTTGCATTTTAATTAATTTAAAAATATTGGTAACTGATAACATGGTTTTTAATATTTGCATTTCTTAAAGTGTTTAAATTACTTAACCTATAAACTATGACTTTCCAAAAAGTGGATTAGTTCACACTTCTGTCAAAGTTTAGCTTTTTATACCTTTTCTTTTCCATTCTAAAAGTTAATTGGGATCGGTGATTGAGTTATTGAAAAAAGAATGAAGAGAATAAATCTCTCACCTTTGAATTAAAAATCCACACAAAGAAACTTAACAATAAGCAAAGAACACACAAAGCTAGCTCACTACTGAACAAAGTCAAAATACAAAACACTCTGACAAGGGAAACTTCAATAGTGACCCAATGTGAGCTCTATAATAGAAATTTTAAAATTTCCCTCCAATGCTGCTGCTAAAAAAGTACACAACACTGGCCCATTCCAGTTTATGACAGATAATTTTAAATGTTAGAAATTGCCATTTCTTTTATTCAAGCTTTCAAAAGATTATAGGAAATTTAGTTTAAACCCCTTATCTACAAAGTGTAAATGGTTTGAAATATTTATATTTGTAATGTGAGCACTACAAATTGAATTACATTCTTTAAAATGGTTTTGTTTTTGTTTTTTAATGGTCACTTCACTTTATACAAGATAATTTCTTGCCTTGAACATGACTGAATTCTTGGTCAATGGTCACTGTATGCAAATATATTCCCATTGCAAAATGTATTATTTTACAAGGACCAGCTCAAAGTGATCAATTTAAGCAGGTTTCACTGTATTTTCAAATCTAAAACTTCTAGATTTTCAGGTTATCTTTTAACAATTAAAGATAGTGATTGCTTGATTTTTAAAAATTAGATCAAGATTATCAGGGAAAATCATTAAGACATTCTGAAAGACTTGGATACTATGGAATCATCCTATTTAATTATGTGACTACTGTTACATTATGATTCATAATATATTTATAAATTAGGAAACATTTCATACATTAATTTAGTTGGCATATAGTGTTTCATCTTATAATTTCTTAATTGTGTTAGGAAACCTTGAGAAAAGTCAAAGTTTAGCATCTTAAAGCACTCTGTGTCATTCAGTAATAAAACTTTATAGATATATATGAATAGACAATAGTAGAAATAGTTTTTCTATTATAAAAGTTGTGACGTATTCAAAGCATTTTGTTACTATGCAAAAATTCTTTAGGCGAGTAGATTCGAAGATCAACGTAGCAGTATGCCAGACATTCTCCCGTGTCGATCTCAAAGAAGTGGCCATTACATGCCTACACGTCATTCTTCGTCCCCATCACATTGTCCACAAACTTTCCCTGATGACGATTTCCTCAGTCTCATTTTACGATTTCAGGCAGGACGAATGGAAGACCAGCGTTCCGCTCTTCCCGGAAAATCGTCCTCTCCGCCTCGAGAAGAAAACGATAACTGTTCCGAAATCGGAAATACGAGCAAAGCTGGAATTAAGCCGGCCGGATTGTTAAGATCTAGTTTAAAAGTAGGATCCAGAAAAGGTCAATTTTTCAAACATTAATTTATAATTTCAATCAATGAATGAAATATATACAGATGTTTCTTATATTGAAAGTCTATTTTAATGTAACAGAATGAAAGAAGGAAATATATATATATAAATATATATTTCAGATATAATGTAATCATAAACTTGTAACTATATCTTGATCAATTTTAAAATAATTTTAAAAATTTTAATTATATGTTCTTCTAAAAATCTGTATTCTAACACTTAAATAATCTATACTGTTACATAAAAATACAAATTTTGTTTAAATTTTACACTTTATTTCATACATATTACATGCAATTAATTATCTTTTAGAAGTTAATTGCTTACTGGCACATTTAAATTTAAATACAAAAAATTAATTTATCTTTAATGTAGGAATAAGTTTTTGAATATCTTCTGACAAATGAAATATGCTTTTAATAATCATTGCACGTATTCAAAACATTAATCATAATTTTTTAGCAAGAAAGTATTCGTTACTGCATTTATTTATTTTCGATCATCGTCGGCGTAACTAATAGCAGTGTCCGGTCCGAACGTTTCGACAACTCTAAGTCATTCGAATTGCCTCGATCGGCATGCGGCAATCTCGTTCGTTCGTCGAGCTCGCAAATGTATCAAAACCATCAATCTCTCCGGTAATTCCAAATATCTGCAAATCCTTTTCCTTATATACTCATTTGGTTTATTACTGTTACTGAAATATTTGTTAAGCAGATTTTTTCATTTACGTATGGATACTTTGACCAGATGATTTCAAATAAGATTGTAACAGATGTGTTTATCTTGTTTGTTTGTCTTATATTTTCATGTTTAGTTTATATTTTGAAGTAATGCTATTATTTTTGCTGTTTTACATAATTTTCATACAGTTAATTTTAATTATATCCTAATATTTCTTTTTGCTCATATTTTGTATATTAAGATCTATGCAAACATATTGTAAATATTATTTGTTGATACTTTTTCTTTTTTATACAACATTCATATGCACACTAACACACACACACAATACACACACAGACAGACAGACACACATTAGAGTTATTTCATAAATGTAATTCTTATTTTAAGTCAATTTTCCTCTGATCATGTTTGTTGTTATATTTAAAGGGATGTTGTTTGGTATTCACAATTTATCTAGCAGTTTTTTAAAATTATTTGTCATTCCATTTCCATATATTTTGAAGTTCTTAAGTATATTTTTTAATAAATAATTTGGGTAGCTTTTCCTCCTTTACTTATATTTTTATAGTTTACTCAATATAGTTAGAAATTGTCATGTTATGCAAAGATACTACTAACATTTTTTCTGAAATTTAATTTTGAGCAATTGGCTTATTTTTTGGCCGTAAGTCACGTTTAAAATTTGGATTTGACCCGGCCGATTCGCATTCTAAATTACGCCTTTAATATCAAACTTGTATAATTTCATAACAGAAAATGGATTATTTCCAAATTATTACGTTAGAAATGCATCTGATTTGCGTATAATGAAAAATATTTAATATGTAATTACACATAGCAAATAGTATTGTATATTTTATTTTATGTTACGATATTCACAAATTTAGATGTATGCTTTCTCACCGGCTCGTTCGTATTCGAGTCGATGCTTTATAGAAATAATTTATGACATTCCTAATGGCGTGTATTACATTTTCATTCTAAAAATTTTAAAAAATGTATGTTTTTAGAGAGTAGAATGTAAAAGTCAATATTAGTTGTTATTGGTGTAACAGTAGGATATCATAGAAGCATATACATGTATATTATAATACATTGAACATTTTTTTGTATTCTTAATTTGTTTTTCTAGGGCCAATATATAATTATACTATGTTGAATATAGACTAATTTAGTATGGTTCACACAAAATGCATTACATTTAAAGAGGAGCATTTATAGTTCTTCCTCTTCCATTGTTTACCCAATTAAAAGGCATATATTTATTTTATAAAACATAAAAGCAAAAATAGAAATAAAGACAAAATAAATTAACAATTGTACTAAGCCTGAAAGAATTTGGCAATATCAATCATTTTAAATGCTTTTTTAAATTTAAAAAAAATTTGACATAATTTAACTAAGTTTGAATACAGATGTATTGAGAGTTTTTCCTCAATAATAAATTCAGGAATATTATAAGTGCATGGTCAAAATCAAATGATCATGAATCTTATTTCGCAATTAATTATAATTGCAGTCTAAAACATTTTAAACACAAATATTCTTAAGTTTTCAATCATTATCTCTTGTAATTTTAATGAGTTAACAAAAATATCAATACTACTATAAATTGACAGTAATAAAATATAGAATAGAGATATCCCTTGATTAACATAAGTAATTAATCACTCGACGTACTTGAATTTTGTCATACATAAAGTTTTTTATGATAAAAATGAGTAATTAAAAAGTTAAATGATACCTTAATTAGAGCTGCCTACCCTTGTCAGACAAAATTTATACTTGATCCATTGATCCAGTGTCTTTTTTTTTTCTTTCTTTAGTTAATGCATAAGGAACACAATCATTATGTTGGTGACACATGCTAAGGCTTGTTGCAAGTTCAAGTTATTTGTCAAATTTTAACAATTTCTTCCCATAATTTCTCTTTGTCGACAGCTTTTGGCTGCTGACGAAGAGAAATTACTCAATTTACTGTATGTTTTGTATCCTTTAGTTTGAAATTTCCCAAACAAAACTTTAAAAACCACATCTGATGTGTCTGATATTTAGGAGTTTCTTCCCCGTAAACATGACGATCAACACTATACAAACTTCAAAAAATAATCCTTTACAAAACTTAAAAAGCTTACATAATATGCCTGATATACATTTTATCTGCAGACATTTTGATTTGATTTTATGCAAATAAAATGTGAAGTAGTTTTAAAGTGATTCTAAACAAAGAATACATCACATTAGAAATAATGTGTTAAATTTCACAGCTATTGTAATTAAATTACCTATCTATATTGGAAATATCCTTGGTACAAAATAATAAATTTGCTGACACGTTACTTGCCGAAAAAAACATCTATGTTAAGTAAAGCTGGCTTTTAAAGCTACAGTAATTAAAACTTCTGCCATGCGTATAAAGGGATTGCCACAATTAATTTCGCACATTAAGCAAAACCATGTTAAGTGAGGGATACCTGTATTTGAATATTTGTATTAGAATTAAAATCTGCAAAATTTAGCATTAACATTTATGCAAAACTAATTTCCATTCTCTGCAATGTTCTAGAAGATGCTCGGATGGCCAAAGTGGTAACAGCTTCGGCCCATCACTCTGGCATGTCTGGGATCGAACTGGTGCAAGAAACCCTGGGAATGTTTCTTGGGTTCATCTTGAATGTATTGGACCCATTTCTTGCATTTGGCCATCCCCTTGTGGGTCTGGAAAAGGGCACTCTTGGTGTCTATGGAGCAGACAGTAAAAAATGTGCATGTTTGTGTATATATATAATATATATATATATATATACACAAAAATTGGAAAATTTACATATGTATATATAATATATATACATATGTAAATTTTCCAATTTTTTCAACTTTAACTGTACAGTTTACTGTTTGTCTGCTTCAGTTCCTAGACCAAGAATGTCTTTTTTCTCCTCTGTGTAATTACGAGAGCACTCATTCTTCACGAGTCATTTTCCCACAAGGACGACTCTTTTGTTCCCTAATGTCTTTTGACCTGGAATAAAACAGGTGACCACATATTTCCATTTACCCCCCCTGCTATGATAGACAAAGGTGCAGTTTCAAAATATGGTAGAGGAGAAGGTGGTATTATGGAACCCCCCATTTCGAACTGATAATAAAGGCGAACTGTAGGGGAATGTGGCTGAACTGAAGTAGGCAGACATCCATAGCGAGGGGAAAACCCGTTTTACTTCAGTTAAACGGTTGTTCGTATTTAATCAGCAAATTTGTTTTTTTCAAAATTCGCAAGTTTTGAATGCTAAGTGAATTTAATTATTTTTAAAATATAAATCATGTAGTTGTAGGTTCACTGGTGCATGTATTCCGTTCCAGAGACTTAGGGGTACATATTAATCTGTGTGATGTTCACGTTTTTTAAATTTTGGTCTTGACAGACATAAGTTAATTCGAGATGGCGATGCGTGAAATACGGACCCCATTGGTGCTTTTACAGTAATATGGAACTCAACTCCTCCGAACTTTCTATTTGCAAGCAGACATTCCTCCAGAGCAATTTGTGAAAAAGACACTAGGTAGAAAGCCAATTCTTCCTGAGAATATCGAAAAAGAGCTGCTGGAATATATATTGTTGATGGAGGTCATATTTTTCTATTATAAAAGCATTTTTGCGATAAAATACATTGGAGTAAATAATTTTGTAATTATTTAACATTTTTTGTCCTTTCCTATTTGTTTTTGGCTACATTAAAGCATTTTTTTGAAAATATACAGTAAGGTTCCATATTACCACCCGATTTTCTCTAAGCCTACTTTCGGACTTTTTGTACAAAAGCCTTCAAAAACCATACTTATAATTACACTAGCGAAAAATCCAATTAGGAACATTTAGTTTAATAGTTACCAGTACTTTTTGCACAAAAAATGTGGGTGTAGTTATGATACCTTGTTTACAATTCACTAAAATGTAATTGGGGTTCCATAATACCACCTTCTCCTCTATATGTCGAAATCTTTATTTCTTTTCCCATGTTTTACTACATAGAAAAAAAAAACTGTCAAATGTTTCCTATCTTGTGTGGTCCTATCATAATGGGCTCCAATTTCTGTCTGTTAATTTAATTTTTCTTTTCGATAAGGATTAGTCTCCTTTTTTAAAGCCCTCTTTACGATGAACTTTATCATAATACATTTTATTATTCTTGTGTGAACGTATGGTGTTATTTAGAGCCATTTTCCTTGCAGTTTCCAATTTGGGGAAGTCTCTTTGATCAAAGGATTAAACGGTGGTATGCCATACATTAGGAAATTGGGACTGAAGTCTGTTGTTATATTCTTGAACGACTTCATCCAATAATTTAGGCTAATACACGTTTTTGGGATTTTTATTTATCTTACATCTTAGTCTTGTACACAGAATTTGGTTTACTCTTTTGCATAATTGTTTGATTGTGCACAATTAACTGTTGTGAATTTTAGTGCAATATTTTGTTTGTCTAGAAATCTCATAGATATGCTGGAATTTATTCAAAAGAATTTATCTGCATGAATTAGTTTTGGTTAGATTTTTGAATTAGATTAACAAAATCCTTAACAGTTTGTGTGTGAGAACAAACAGTCCCTACATATTGCATGATCTACAGCAACATGTAAGTATTTTAGAATTGTATCCTTGAAATCTGCCTAATGTGTAAATTTCAATAATTTCGAAAGGGTTGTTTGCCGGACCAAGCACTTTTTGACCAAAGACGTTAATATGGTAATCTTGGGCCAGTAGTAGACCAAAGATATTAAGGATAGCAGTTCTTTCGTCCTTATGTGACCAAACTTATAGTGACCTTTGTTCAAGTAATTTGAGCCTTAAGTTCTCTGGCATGTAGATTTTAGGAATTTGTTTTTTACCCAAATAATCATACCATTCTCTCTTGTACATCCTTTTGATAATAAATTATGAGACATTCTCATTTGGGAGTTAACAATTTCTTCTTTTTTCTAATAAATTGGTTATTTTTAAATGCTCACTGTTATTATTGGGTTCTAGAGTTGGATTCCAGGATAATCAGTCCTCTACTTCACCATTTGATCTTGAATGGTGAGTAGAGCAGGAATATCAAGTATCAAATATCAAGCAGGAAGCTCTCTTTCTACTTGATATTTGATCTTGAAATCATATTGACTGAGCTTTAGTGACCAGTTGAACAGTCTCCAATTCAGTTTCTTAATATATAGATTTGAGTGACTTTTTAA